CGCATAACAGCGGCTTTCTTTGCAAGATGAGGATTTGGCAGTGGTGCGACGGAGGCCCTAACCGGCCAGACACGAGCACCACTGAACATTGACGGACTGAGCTTGGACAACATCTGGCATGTATGGCACAGAGAGCACTGAAAAGCCACCAGCTTTTTCAGGCTCTATGAGAGGAGAGAGACAGAATCCTACTGCACCTACAACCTGCTGCACATCATGCACGATCGACACACAGCTTGTACTCCTGCCAACGGTGGCCACACAAGCACTGTGTGCCCGTGTCCCTGTGTCTTTCACAGTACACCGCCTGTAGATCCACCCTATGAATGACACATGAATCAGCACAACGAGTTTGCCTGTATTCTGTTTGTGCAGTGCCAGCACTCCCAGCAATTTTCTTAACGATAACCTTGTGAATGTGTTGCTGTTACAAGGAGTGAGTTTCTTGCGATGCTCAGTATGTATTATAGTTTGGACTGGTTAATTTATGACCAGGTGACACCTCTTTTGAATTACAATGAGCCAATTTGGTTTGATAATTAAAATGGGGGGAAAAAAATCCTAATTATGAAACAAGGTTGCGTTCCCTGTAGCACTGCACACTTTTCTCGCAAAAATTAGGAAACATGGATCACATCAAAAATGGTTATCAAAGTTCAAGGTGAGGGCGTGTTGCTTAAAAATAGACACTGGAAACCAGAAGCCCTAATTATAAGTTCTATACAAAATAATACAAGCTTTTTATTTTCATGGGCGGCACAGAGGCACAGTGGTCAGCGTTGCTCGGTTCCATTGTGGACCTGGGGTGCTGTCTGTGTGGAGTATGTTTGTTTCCTTGTGTTCGCGTGGGTTTTCACTGGGTGCGCCAATCTCCTCCCACAGTCCCAAGACATGCTGGCAGGTGAATTCGCTTCTGGGACCATCGGCCACGTGTTGGTATTCGCGTCTCCGTGTGTCCTGCGATACTCTGCCTTACACCTGTTGCTTTCCCAGATAGGCTCTGGCTCCCCCATGACCTTCTGTTGAATAAAGCACTTATAAGAGGCTAGATGGATCTCATCACAAGACGTAGATATTGTTCTGCTTATATT